TGGGAAGGAATTGCTGGCTGGGAGGGTGGGCAGGCCCTGGCACAGGTTGGGCAGAGAAGCTGTGGCTGCCCCTGGATCCCTGGAAGTGTCCCAGGCCAGGTTGGACGGGGCTTGGAGCACCCTGGGCTGGTGGAAGGTGTCCCTGCCCATGGCAGGGGTGGCACTGGATGGGCTTTGAGGTCCCTCCCACCCAAACCCAGCTGCACAGCCCCTCCCAGGATTCTGTGACTCCCTGGATCTGCACTGGGAGCTGCTTTAGGAGTTTGGGATTAGCCCTTTCCTGGAGGTTTGTGGTGCAGGTGTTGCTGGGGTTCAGCTGCTGCCGTGGGGGGGCAGCTCTGAGGAGCTCCGAGCGCTGGGGCCGCTGCCCTGGCCGAGCTCTGCTCACTCCAGGGGTCCCCTGGGAGCCAGGAGGGAATGTTTGTGGCAGCTGGGAGCGTTCAGGAGCTGCTCCTGCTGCGGAGCTGCCCAGCCCAGCTGCTGTGTTGGTCGGCAGGTGATCGAGCACACGGCCTTCCCCAGCCGCGGCGACTTCGACAGCGCCATCGATGCCGCGCTGCGCGAGTTCTCCGTGGAGCTCGTCTGCCTGGCGGGGTTCATGAGGATCCTGTCGGGCCCCTTCGTCAAGAAGTGGGAAGGTGAGCACAGCTGGGGGCTGGGAAACTTCAACAACGGCATTTTATCGTCAGGGAAACACAAATACAGAGAGGGGACTGGATTGGCTCTGGGTGTGCAGGAAACAAGGTGATCTTTGGGGTCCCTCCCGACCCAAACCCTTCTGTGATCCCATGAAATGAGACCCTTCCATCCTGTAAGGAGCAGGGGGAGAGGAAAGGCAGTTTCCCCCTTCCCTCTCTCATTTGTGCTGGGGTTTAAGGAAGCCAAGGGCAAGGGCAGGTCTTGTAGTCCTTGATTTATTAGAAAATGTTTAAAAGAAGGCTGTGAAGACTTTAGAGCTCTGCAAACATGAGGTGCAGGGCAGGTGTTGGCTGGGGAGAGGTGATCTTCCAACCCCTGGGAATCCCTTCCTGACAGAGGATCTGCCTTGGATCTGTGTAAACCCACCAAACTGGGCAGCACTGCAGTCTGGGATATCAGAACCTGGTTTGACCTGGTTTGGCCTGATTTGACCCCTCTGTGGTTTTTGGGGCTTTGCACACCCTGGTCAGTGCTCGGGGCCGGTAAAACCCCACCGTGATCTTGCAGGGAAGATCCTGAACATCCACCCGTCCCTGCTGCCGTCCTTCAAGGGGGCCAACGCGCACCGGCTGGTGCTGCAGGCGGGCGTGCGCGTCACCGGCTGCACCGTGCACTTCGTGGCTGTGAGTACCCCCTCAGTACCCC